TTTTTTCTCAATATTTGGTAGTTACCTAGTTATAGTTAGTACTTGGTTGATAGCCTACTATTTTTGGACAACATTGGCAATTGGCATTATAAACTTTGTGAACTTTATTTTCTTTTCTATTTTGAAATCGTGATTGTTAATTGGCAGTCTTTTTTGGACAACTGTGAACTGTGGCACTATGAATTTTGTGAATTTTCTCTTCTTTTTTGTTCCTACTTCCTAAAGTGGGATTTGTACTTGGCAGCCTTCTTTGCACTGTTATGGCACTATAAAATTTGCAAATTGATATTGTTAACTTTTAGATCAATGATAAAAGTATGCATCAAGGAAAGAAGTCATTGTTCATTTTTCTTTTCTTTTCAAGTTTTATGTTATGCCGAAAGAATACAAACAATGGAATTTTAAAAGCTATTGTTGGTTATTTCTTGAGATGAGATCTCTATTTTACTTATGCTTACTTAACTAGTTTATATGAAATTTGGTATTTGAATGTTAATTTTTGGATTGTGAAACCAATCAACCATCCAAAATAATTTAAATTGTAATAGGTACAAATTACAGAGAAAAAAAGAAAAAATAAATAATTGGGTTAACCCGTGACCTGTGATAGGCGGGTTAGGGTCTACCTTCATTGACCCGTGACCCGTTTTAACCCAATCCGTTTTGACCCGTTACCCGTTCTGACCCGACCCTAACCCGACCCAACCCGCCCGCTTGCCAAGTCTAGATTTGGATAAGATTGTATATGATATAAACAACGGGATTAGATTGGATGAGACTAGATTAGACAATATAATAGTACAATCCTATGTTTGGAGAGCTCCGGTTTAGAAATAAAAATATATATCTATTGACAAAAATACCCTTATTTATAATATTAGTAATATTTTTCCACATCTAAGATTTTTGTTTAAATTACAAACTTTTTATTTCTTGACGTTCAAATTACAAACTTGTTCTACTATTGATAAAAGATATTCAATAATTAATTTATAATGATTAAAAACTAATGAAATTAATTTAATTAATTAGCAAGATGGATTTGAAATTTTGAGTTGAATTCTATTAAAATTGTATTTCTATCAAATTAAAAATTTTCTGGTCGCTTTATTAAAAAATTTTTATATGGCAAAAAAAATCAGTATATATTTTCATTTTCTTTTCTAAGAAAGTAAATACTAGTAATTATTCGAGTTTCAATAAAGTAATTTCATTTTTCATTTTTTATTCCTTTTTTTTTCCCGTAAACCGAACAAGAACTCCCAATTTCATTTTTTCTTATGAAATATTTTCTGTTTCAATTTCTTCTCTTTTCTCAAAATTCAAACAAGAGCCAATTTCATTCTTTTTTCTTTTTTTTTTCTAAGAAAGCAAACTAGTAAATCTTCTACCTGTGAAACATTTTCACTTTCATTTTTTTCTTTTCTTGAAAACCAAAAATGAACCCAAATTTGAAAACATGCTTCAAGTTAAAACTGTTTTTCTGAAAGGAAAAAAAAAAAAAAAAAGAGGTTCATCTTCTTCAACAGATATGCAGTTGAACTAGATGTGGTTGTTGGCCAAAATTTAAAAAAAAAAAAAAAAACAGATGTAGTTGCAACCGACATGATTTTGCCTTCATTACAACTAGATCTATGAAGCCCATCCAATGAACTTGCAGGAACAGGCCAGAAAAGGAGAGAGAAATCATTGGAGAGGTAGGGGAGAGAGTCACCATTGAGAGAGGATGATCGGCCAAAAGAGAGAATGTCACCAGCCAGTGAGAGGAGAATCGGCCAAGAGAGAGAATGTCACCAGTGAGAGGAGAATCTGGAAAGAGAAGGTCGCCGGTGATTTGGGACGAGGGGAAGTAGACTAGTAGAGAGAAGAAGGGTAGATTTAGGAAATTTAATCCAATCCCCCCTTATCCCATGGGTTTGATTGAATTAAATTTATTCAATGAGCAACGGATTCGATACAATGCTGGCTAGTGGTCATCTCATCCCACGGACTCTCCAAACATGAGATGAGGAGGGAGAGGACAAATATTTTGTCCAATCTTGTGCTTAATCCGGTGCTCCAAATGCACCCTAAGTTTACACCCATAGACTCCTATAAATGGGCCCTAAAATTAAAATGACTCGAATCAAAATCCTAACTAGTTTAATAACTTTTCATATAAACGTTTGTAGGTTCTCAAAATCTTAAGGTTAATTTGTTAGTAATAATTGATCTTAGTATTATATATTAATAGCACTCACAATTCTATCTCAATATGAAATAAGAGACATCATAAAATCCGTAAGACTCGAGCTAAAGTGGTAGTATCAAAGTGTTTACATCATAAATTGCAAAATTTTAAATTAATGCCACGTGTAAAATTTTTATTGGTTGGAGGAGTTTGAGCCATGTCAGATTCGGATTTTGGGCCCCATGACAGATCAGCACATGTATTGGCAAGATAAGAGAGGTAAAGATAATGTTTTATGGAGTAATTATCTTCTTGAAACAGAAAGAGATAATGGCAGCTGGAAAATAGGGGAAGATCACAGTTAAAAAGGGGATTTTATCTGATATAGTACAGGTGGCAAAATCTGGAAGGGGATTAGACTAGGTCAAAAGGTGAGGTGTCCCACTACTCCAACAAACTACCCATGATTGAGTAACTGCCGGCACAAGAGGAATAAAAAGGAAATTTTGGCAAGAGGAACACACGGCCAGCCCTACTCAAACATTTGCAAATTTTCATACTTTGATTTTCTCTGCACATGCTTCCAGATTTCGGATTTCAGCACAGATTCCATTAGAATTAGGTTGTTTTTCATCTTTCCAGTAGACAAATTTATTCCTATATTCAGTTAAAACAATTTCCTTTCATGCAATGAACTTCAATCCTTCAAGTTTATGTAAGGTATTGTTTTCTCTTCATTTGTAATTAATTTAATGTTTATGTTAAGTAGCATTGCTTCAATGATTACTTATGTGGCTTTCATGCTTCTTTCCAATTTCAAGTTCTTCAATTTATTCACTGTTCACATTATTTATTTCACTGTTAATGTTTAATTTCAGTGCTAATTAGGTTTAAATTTCCAGTTCTGCAGCAATTTAATTTCCGAATCTGTCAATAGATTGCATTTTAATTTCATCATAAGCATGTTTAATTTAGTTTAAGTACATTTCTTTCTCGCAAGTTTATTTTAAATTGCAGGTAATTTAAAATAATTAGGATTTGATAACTTTAAGTCACAGTAGTGTTTAAGTCCTTGGAGTTGTCCAAGGCAGATTTCGTAACCCATTCTGCAGGAAGGTATCCCTCCCTCTTGCAAATCGTCTGAAGGTGCAATTTCAATTTTAATCCAACGTTCTTCCTGCCATCTGCGAAGAGGTCGACCGTGAGGAAGGAGAGGGTCATTGGGAAAGTCTTCCTTTCTTACTTTCAGGCAAGTAAGTGGCACGCCCGCAACCAGATTTCACACATGCGAGGCCACTAGAGGATTTTTGAGGAAACAATCCTTTTTTGGCACGCCCAGTGGGACCTCATCGTGTCTTACTTACAGTTTTCAGATCCGTTGTTCTTTTTTGCAAGAAAAGGTGCAATCATGCCACGAAAAAGAAACCTTGGGAAGGCTGTCCAGACTTTACAGATTGGGCTTGGTGAAGGCAGTCTAACACACTCAGAAGGAGAAAATGAGCCAATCATTCCACCACCATTGTCACCAATACTTAGGGAGCATTCTTTTATCAATCCTACCTTCAACAAGGGTAGTGAATCTGGAGATGA